AAAAAAAAAAAAAAAAAAAAAAAACTACCAACTCCTGTTCCTCCTTTTTTTCTGCCTTCCCATCTTTCAGGCCTTGAGGTAGTAAAATGTTATCTACAATCTTTTCTTTTTTTGAAATAGTTTTTAAAAGATTTATTTATTCATTTGAAAGGTAGAGTTACGCACAGAGAGAAAAACAGAGAGGTTTCCCAATGTCTTGGTTCATACCCCAGATGGCCGCATATGAAGCCAGGAACCAAGGGCTTCCTCTGAGTCTCCCACACGGGCACAGGGGCCCAAGGATTTGGGCCATTCTCCACTGCCCTCCCAGGCCACAGTAGAGAGCTGGATTGGAAGTGGAGCAGCTGGGACTCGAACTGGCGCCCACATGGGATGCCAGCACTGCAGGCGGCAGCTTCACCTGCTACTCCATAGTACTGGCTCCTCTATAACCTTTTCCACTAAGCCTCTCCTCACCCTCCAGGACTGACCTGGGAACCCTTCTTCTAACCTAAACTTCCCTTTTCATGGCACTTTTCCCACAGTGTAAGTATCTGGTCCCTCTAGACTCAGGATCTACAGATCATGTCTGCCTCAGTCATCCTTACATACCCAGTGTACAGCATAGTAGGGTTGTTGATGTGTTTTTTTTTTTTTTAACATTTCAGAATAGTTCTAAATCCATAAAAAATCATGAGGTAGTAATACTGAGAGTCCCCACAGAGCCTTTATTCACCCATTTCCCCTATTACTAACATCCCAGATTAGTCAATTTGTCACAATTAATGAACCACTTCCAGCCCCCTCCCCCACCTTTTTAAAATCCAAATTCCTTTTAAATGGAGAAAGGGAAGGAAGGGAGAGAGGGAAAAAAGAAGGAAGAAAATAAACTACAACACAGAAGGAGCACTAAGCACTGTTAGATGATGGGAGTGTGAAGGGGTTTCCTGAGGCTCTGTAAGCTTGAAGCAAGGTGCCCATGGTTTTAACTGCAGTAGAGGATAAGCCAGACAGGGTTTTTTTTTTTTTTTTTTTCTCCCTGGAGCTAAAGTTGAGGTTGAGAACCTCAGCTCCCAAATGAAGAATTACCAGGAGATACAGATGTGGGATAACTTTTGGGAGGAAAAAAATCCTATTTGTTGATATGTAAATAAAACCAAAGAAGGGCCAAGAAGGTGACTGTGCAAAATTCATTTAGCTTTTATTAGTAAGGGACTTGGACTAGATTAGGTTTTTTCAAATTGAGTTCTGAGGAACTCAGCTCTCTACAGAAGCCCCTCAGTGCCTATCATGATGAAGAATGTTCACTACTGAATGTAGTCCCCAACTTTAACCACAGAAACGTCCCCCCACTACACTCACATTGAGGTTCTACTTAAAGTCCATCTGAAAAAAAGGGCACTTCTGTGAAAACTACAACATGAACAGCAGCGGCCTCCGCGGCCTGAGACCTCTCAGCATGCACAGCCCTTGAACCTGCGGCAGACTGAATCTGTCCTGATAACCTTGACTATGCTGATGGCACAGCTGCAGCGTTTCCCTGAGTCTATCCTCACTGCCTGAGCCAAATGACAGCATGCACTGCAAAGATGCACTGCAAAACTGAGGGGGGAATGGAACACACTTTAAATTTCCTCCAACCATGGTGAAATAAATGCACAAAGGTATTTTGTTTTCCTAAACAAAGTTTTGTCAACATGTCTTTCTCCTAGGATTCATTGTATAGGTGTCTTGGGTCTGACACAAAGATGTTCTAGATCAGAAATAAAGAATATTGGATCCAGAGCCTATTAAAAAGACAATCCAATTCCAGTCAAAAAAGAACAATGGGTAAGTTATCTAGTCACCCCACCTGATTGCTTAATTACCATCCATATGTAGTGCCTGCTCTTCTTAACAAAGTATTCTGAATGCAGCAAGAATATCGCAAAGTTAGTGTCAGTACATACTTTCAAGTCTACCTTTATCTGAAGGTTACAGGCAGGAAATGACACAGTTGGGGAAGGCTTACAAAATAAGATCTTCAAAGCCCTGGCTTAAGATGGAGATCTCTTTTCTGTGCAATTCCTTGGCTGTCCATATTTCATGGGACATTAAAAGGCCACAAATGTCACTCCACTTCAATTCTGAGAATGGATAAGCAGAAATAATGTGATCTTACCTGGGTCCTTCCTCGTCACCCTAAAAGACAAAGAGAAAGAACTTGTATTAGAAGTCATCATTGGCAGAGATGGATTTAGATTTATTTTCTTTCCCTTTCCTCTCCCAACCTGAAAGCAAGGATTATGCATTTATTGTAACAAAGACAAACCAGGAGTCGTCTAAGGACTAAACAAGGGCTAACATAATCCTATGTTCAAACTGCCCTGCAGAGATGAACTGGTAATTTGTCCTGGCAAGCACAGATGAGAACATACGGACCCAGGAGGCCTAAATAATAGCCTTGCCTTTTTATTTGTATGGCTGGCAGTATTCAAATCTGAACAAGCTGAGAGCACCAAAATAGCTGCAGGTCTTGGGCAGAAGCTGACCAGCTCCAAAAGCATCAAGCTGATTTTCTTCAAAGACTCATTTCTGCCTTGGTCCAATAATTTTCTCTGAACACAGCAATTCTAATATATAGCATACTGTAGTGCAAAGGGTACTGTGCTGGGACTCATGGACTAGGGATTCTAGTCCAAGCTCTGATCCTTGTGAGCTATGTGCCTTTGGGGGCACAATAATTAATTATTCTAGATCTCAGTGGTCTCCTCTGTATCAGGGTAGTTCTGATGTTTGATGATTCTCATCATTTTCCTTTCTTGTCCACTATGCGAACACAATGTGTTATTTTTCCAGATACTGCATTCACTCAACCTAACTTTATCAGTAGTTGCAAATTTCTTTCAGCCCCCTTCCATGACCAAGTAAGATTTTTCAAACAACTCTAGAGCTTTTACAAAGGGCCTTACTCATGCTTTTAGGGAGACTATCTTTTACAACCTCCTCTGTGGCTATTCAAGGATGGTCTCCACAGAAAATGTACCCTCTTATACTCCCCAGAAAATGAATAAATGGTTTCTGCTGGTATTAAGGAAAATGAGCTGGAGACAAAAAACTCTGGCTTCAAACCTTGTCTTATTCACTTGCTGGCTATAGAACCCTAGTTATCTGGTCTCTCTGGACTTCAATTTCCCAATCTGTAAAATGGAGTAACTGTCTTTTGTAGAATGAGTATGAGCATTAAATACTGCTTATCACCATGAAGCCCAGTGTCTGATGCACTAAATAAAGGTTAGTTATTAATATCAGTAGCAACTTAGTGTGATTCATTAAGAAGCTCCTATATATTGGCACTAAGGGTGTAAGCTAAATAACCCATGATGCTCTAACCTTTGTAGAGCTCTCAATCAGGAGCAGGAGAAACAGGTGGGTAGAATAAGCTCCTCATATGACTCAATGGGTCAAGAGCACTACCAAAGACATAAACATAAAAACATAAAGCTTTACGCATTAAAAAATAAGTGATGAACACTTTATTGGAGAAGGTAGGCAAGGCTTGTCACAGAAAAGGTGACACTTATACTATGACTCAGGGGATTAGTAGTATTTCCTCAGGCTGACAAAGAGAAAAGTGGGAAGCTCACTGGTGTAGCAAACGGCACAGCAGTTGAAAACAAATGGCACTGCTTAAAGAACCTTGAGTTCTATGGAACTAGCGAATGTTTATGGGCATGCAAGTGTGGTAGGCCGAGGTAAGGATGAAGATGGTAGGGGGTTTCAGAGTAAAACCAAGGTAGAAGGAGACTGCAAGGGTGCCAGCCTATAAAGAACTGTTGTAGCCAGAAAGATGATTTGAATCGGACTATACACTGGAGGTAGAACAGAAGAACAAGGAGGGCATTTTCAGCAGACTGTTAAGGATTTTTTCAATAGTAGTAAGGGTGCTAATCATCCATAATGCAATGAGGGAAGTGGGCAAGTGGTAGAGGGAGTATATAAGAATGGCGGAAGCTTTCTTTGCATTTTAACTGAGTAGCATGTCTCAGGAGAACTAAAATATAGCAAGAAAAAATCATTAAATTTAAAATGAATTACATAACTGTCAATGACAATTAAATCTCAACACAATTTTTCAATTATCATTGGATGTTTAAACAGAAGAGTCTTATAGAAAAAAAAGTTTCTGAACTTTCTCCCACGATTTAGAGCAAATTCTTCTTACAACCACATAGCTTGGTTCAATAGTTAAAACAAGTTTCTGAGTTACAAAAAGATGGTATCGAGTTCTAGCTCTCTAATTCCAACAGTAAAGCTTTTGACTATTTACTGGACTTTTCCAAGGTTTAGTTTTCTCATCTGCATATGGAGATCCTAATTCTTACTTCAAAGGGTCACTCTATGTATTAAAATAAATGAGAAAAAGTGTGCAGAACACTAAGCAAATGTTTTATATTAAGTATTCAACAAATGGTAGACATCATTTCACTTCCCTCAAATTAATTAAATTTCTAGAGGAAAGTATAGAAAGCACAGAAAGATTCTGACAGATGGCACAAGGTCTTGCTATATGTTCACCCACTTTTGTAACTTATAGGTATGTGCTTTTCATAAACAATAGTCACTACCACAAACCTTGGGGCAGGCAGAGTAAGTTTTACTCTTGAAGAAATGAATGAATGAATGAACAAAGGAAAGAAAACACCCTCACACATAAATTATAGGACCATTTTGAATAGGTCAACATTCAGATGATTGCTAATCCTGACAGTAACAGTAAAAGATATACAAATGCTACTCCTGCTACCAGCAATGCAGATGCCTATTCTGAAAGCCTAGCTAATTCATTTCCAACCTTTAAGATGAGGTCTTACTTGGAAATTGCCTCACTGACAGCCTGAGTGGGGTCATCCTCTTCTGTTCTCCATATCCATAGAGTTTAACCTTCTAGACTGTATTTAGAAAAGAAAACTGACAATAACAGCATCATATGGATTTCATCATCTTGAGAACATAATATGTTTGGTTCATCTCTATTCACTGTATCTAATGCAGCACAAGGACACACAGCAAATAATTACTCAAGAAAGGAAAGGAGGGGAGGCAAAATATAAGTAGGATTTAAGACTAATTTCTACTCTCATTATGTGTGAACTCTGGCTTGGAGATTATTAAAAGCAAGAATCTGTTAAATAACTTCCATTTAAATAAATGTTAGATCAAGCAATGCTCCTAAATCCCTCCTTGAAAACCATCCTGAATGCTACTGGTTGGCAGACTACCCTCTAGTGCAACCTCCCATTTCTACCTCTATCAGTGGAAATGTTGTTCACCAAGAATCAAGTTTATATCAGTTGAACATCGAATTATAATGACACACTTAATAACAAAACATGAGCGCAATGGTTGCTTCCATGAAATGTTGCTTTTATAAGAATTTATCTGAATGCTTTCACAGCATTCAATGATGAGCTACTTAAGAGTTGCTGTCAGTTTTGATGAAGGTCAAACCTATGCAAAATATTAGAAAAAACAAATTATAAAAATCTAAGATTCTGCATTCAGTTTACTTTGAATGGCACCCCTCTCATTATAAAAAGACAGAAAATGGACCTTATAAATTGTGCAGTACAGGTAGGGCTTATGCCAGAAACATGACCTTCAAAGCCAAACAGACAATTCATATTTTCAAAAAGAATACATTGAGAATGACAAAAAATATACAAATATGTGCTAGAAGTTTAAACTTTTTCTAACATTATCTCAGTGCTATTCAGTATTTTTTTTTTTTTTGACAGGCAGAGTTAGACAGTGAGAGAGAGACAGAGACAGAGAGAAAGGTCTTCCTTCCATTGGTTCACTCCTCAAATGGCCGCTACGGCCGGCGCGCTGCACCATTCCGAAGCCAGGAGCCAGGTGCTTCCTCCTGGTCTCCCATGCGGGTGTAGAGCCCAAGCACGTAGGCCATCCTCTACTGCCTTCCCGGGCCAGAGCAAAGAGCTGGACTGGAAGAGGAGCAACCGGGGACAGAATCCAGCGCCCCAACCGGGACTAGAACCGGCACCACAGGCGGAGGATTAGCTCAGTGAGCCGTGGCATCGGCCTATTCAGTACTTTTCAACACTGGACAAAAGATGAAAATGTTCATTATAATCAAATAAATACATCTTTTTTTAATATTTGACTCTGCGCAAAGAGTTTTATAAAATGACATAAGGTAAGAAAGTCAGGAAACACAAGAGAAGGAATTACTTTCCAGCTTCTTTTATCAGTCCAACATAACCATAATACCAAAAGCTGACAATGACATTACAAAAATAAAAATTACAGGCCAATATTGCTTATGAAAACAGAAACAGAAGCCCTTAACAAAATATCAACTAACTGAACTCAGTTGATGCATTATCATCAAATAGTAGTTCAACGCAGGAATGCAAGGTTGGCTTAACAGTATACAATTAATCAATATAATTAACTATTACAACAAAATAATGAAGAAAACACATAAGGTCACTTCAAAGTAAGTAGAGGAAATGTGACAAAATTCAACATCAGTAATTTAAAAAAATTCTTGGCATGTTATGAACAGAAGGCATTTCCTCAATCTGATAAAGGCCATCTACAAAATACACCAACTTAATAGTAACATACTAGATGCTTTCCCTCTATGACTAAGCACAAGGCAAAATTGCCCATTTTTAGCATTTATGTTGACATTGCAAAGAAAGTCCTAGCCATTGCACTAAGGCAAGAAAAATTAAAGGCATAAATACTGAAATGAAGGAAGTAAAACCATCTGTATTTGTAAATGGAATGATTGCTGATATAGAAAATACTAAAATGACTGTTATAAAGAATCTATATACCACTATTATTACTAATATTACTAATAGGTGAATTTGGCAAGTTTACAAAATACAAACCAACTGTATTTTTATATACTAATATAAAAAAGCTGAAAAACTGAATTAAAAACTTTCAATAGCAACAGAAAGATTAAACACCAAGGGTTAAATTTAAATAAAAGCAATTAAAGATTTTTAAATTAAAATTAAAATTTCTGAGAGCATGTGAAGTCAGACATAAATGGAGACATTTACCACATTTCATTCAAATTGTTGTTTGCCATAGTTATTGTGTCATTTCTCTTTAGCCACTCTACTTTTGAGATTTCTTTTCCTTTTTCTTTATTTTTCAAAACTTTGGTTTTGATGTGTCTGGGTGTGGGATTCACTCAGTTTCTTAAATCTGTAGGTTTATGTTTTTCAACCAAATTTTAGAAATATTAAGCCATTATTTCTTAAAACATTTCTTCTGCCCCACATTTCTTTCTCAGAGCATATTAAATTTTTCATTATTATCCTATAGGTCCCTGGAATTCAATTATTTTTGGATTTTTTTCTTGGAGGTATAGATTGATCAATATCAATCTAGTTTAAATTCCCTAATTCTTTTCTCTGCCATTTCCAATGGGCCACTGAACCCAATCAGTGAATTTCTTGTCAGCTCATATATTCTTCAGTTCTAAAATTTTCATCTGGTCCTTTTTATAACTCTGTTTCTTTGCTGAGATTTTCTATTTTTCAATAGTTCCCAGAGTATCTGTGAATGCTCCCTGAGATCTATTTGTGAAAGCAGGTTTTAAATCCTTGTTTGATAATTTCAGCATCTGTGTTATCTTGATGTTGGCATACACGACTCTTCTCATTACAGTTGAGATTTTATTAGTTCTTGATATAATGAGTAATTTGGGGCTGTGTCCTGTGTTACAAGAATCTGGTTCCTATTTAAATATACTACATCAGTAGGCAGTCAATCTGTTTAGTTTCAGAATACAAGTCTTGTATCAATTTTTATGGACTGTGGTTCCAAATGTTAACGTCAGTTTATAAACCCTCTGCAGTGCTGCTACTCTGGTACTCTGCTACTCTGGTCTGCACCAGTTAGATGACAGGACTAACATTAGGACTAACGTAACGTTACATACAGGGAAGAAGTGAATTAAAGTTCTACATATTGACGCTCCTGTGGAGAGGCACTGTCTAGTTAATGCAGTGGGGAGAAGGAGGTAGTGGAGGCAGGAGCAGAAGTCAGAGTTGCACCTACAAGTGTATGAGAGGCACTACTTACTACTAGCAAAGGCAAACGTAGATGTCAAAGTTTCACACACAGGCTCCACGGGAAAAATAAGGATAAAGATACCTTATCACTGCGGGTGAGGGTATAAAAAGATTTTCACCCAGCTGGCTCCTCCGAAGCAGTGCCAACTGAGACTGGGGAGAAGTGCAGGCATTTTCATGTTTATCTCCAAAATAGGCAAGGATGGTCAAAAGATTTTTTTTTTTATGGCTAGACCACTCTTTTCCCAGCACTTTGGTTAGACAGCACAGGTGGTTTCTTTGTTGTTGTTGTTGTTTTGGTTTTTGGTGGTGGGCGGGAAAGGGGATATTTTCTTTTTGTGTGTCTATTAGTGTCTCCAGTCTGCAGAACATGTAGGCCAGCATATATACAAAGCAAGAAAAAAAACCAAGGAATTCACAGCCTTATAGTCCTTCAAATCCCAAGGTCCCCACACAGTCTGTCATATTTTCTCCATTTCTGAGTCTTCTGGAAGAGGACTTGTCCAAGGATATTGCAATTAACAGAAGTTTATACTACCTTGTTCAACACTAGAATTTGCAATTTGCTTTAAACATATCAAAAATTCAAAAGGATTGATAGAGGAAAGCTTGTTAGAAAGACAGCTAGATACATAGTAATGAAGCAAATATTGCAAAATGTTAATGATAGAATCTAAGTTAGGTATATGGGTGTTATTTGTAAAATTCTTACCTTTACTGTATATTAGAAATTTTTCATAATCAAATGTTGGGGAAAATCTTTCGATTGATTTCAAAATCCAGGTAAATAAAAAATTCTATTATCATGCAAAGTGAAGAAAAGAATCTCTCATTTGGGTGAAGGGGAAGTACTGGCTATTACTAGATTAACTGGAATGAGAAGCTATTAGATGTTAGAAACTCTCTGAAAAAGTTCTAGTCAACTCACTGTTACTTCTTGTTTATAGTCACTTATTTAGTCCACAGCCTGGGCTGTAAGCCTTGTCAGCCAGCCCTTGCAAACCTAAACATAATCCCATCAGCGTTAATAAGCACAGTGCAGCTGAGGCACCTAAAGGGCAGTTCATGACAAGGAGAGACCAAATATATTATTTGAAATTAAAATAATACGGGGATTTCTCTCAAAATTAAACCTTTATACAACCCAACCAATACACAGAATAAATGAGAGTCCAATTGGAGGAGAATGTGGGACAGAGTTATGCTATTGATCCCTTGAGTTAACTCTGGTTGACTTTTTGTTCATTAAGATACAAAGTGATCAATTCAGCATTGTAGCTGGTCTTGAGTATACAACACTTTCTAAAACATTGAGGTTTGGGGTATATAACACTTTCTAAAACATTGATTCTCCTATCCCTTCCCAGACACAAATTGGATGCCTCGTGTACAACATATGGTAGGGGGAAAATATAGGCACTGAAATAGAACAGATTTAAATCTAATTCCTGGTTCTGTTTTCTACTAACTTAATGACACTAGGTCAGTGTCTCTGCAGCTCTCTGAATCTCAATTCCCATCTGTAAAGTAGGTTAATGAACATTGATGTAAGCATCAAATGAAATGTTGAAAATATTTCTCTCGCCTATTTGGAAACTAACTTAGGTATACATTTTCTTATTTTTGAGGAGGATAAAATGAAAAGAACAAAAGTTACTCCTTTCACACATTGATGAAAATTGATCAGGAGGCCTGGACAGAGACAGCAGATAACTGTTCAATGTTCTCTCATATTTCCTGTCAGGATGGCTTTCCTACTTCCTGGATAACAGTTTGGCCCTCTTATTAGCTACATTTTCCGTTTGTGTGTGACCAGGCTCTAACAGGCCAAGGCAAAACTACCAGTTAAGGCTGAGCTCATTAAGTCAGTAGCAGTTCTGTGAAATCCACAGGAATCTCCACAGTTTTCTTCTAGATGAGCCTATACTGAACCTATCCTAAGATTGATCAGAATTTTCAACATAATAGGGTGAAATATGAACAGTAGCCTCTCCATAGTGACTAAAATATGAGTTTCTTTTGCCTTAAATCATTTTTTAGGATCAAGGTACCTGGGTTCAATTCCCAGCTCCAGGACCCGATTCTGAATTCCTTCTAAGGCAGGCCCTGGAGGCAGTGGCAATGGTGCAAATGGATGGGTTCCTGCCACCTAAGTGGTAGACCTGCATTGTATTGAATTCTTAACTCTTAGCTTCAGCCCAGCCCTAGCACAAGCCATCAATTCAAGTGAATAGATACTAAACAAAACAAAAACTTAAGAAAAAATAGAAACTGATTCTAAATGTCTGAATATGTTGTTTGGGAATGTACCTGTATACCTAAGACCCTTTTCATTTCTGTTCCAAAATTACAAAATAACAATGACTACAGTAACTAACATTTGTTACAACTCTAAATTTATCTTCTATGTTTCCTCTTACACTGGTTTTTGTTTGTTTGGATCCTCACAAGGCCTTAGCCCACATACCACTATTAACCCAGTTACGTCCCCAATTTGCACAGTTGGCTCCATATAAAAAGCAGCCTGAGGCATTCTTTCACTATTTTACAGAATAGGTAAAAAAAATTATCTTTCATTCTAGCCTGCTTTATGCTCTACTTCCTGAGTTGTTCTAATTTAGTCCAGTTCTCATCTCTGTGATATTTTTATTTATAGGCTTATTTCACAACTTAAGATCTCCCACTTGCCCTTGTCTCTGGCTCTGATTTCCGGCTTCCCTCCTTAACTGCGATTAGTATCTTCTGCATTGACTGTACTCCTTTAAGTCACAGTCGATAAATATCTCCACCAGGCCAAGCATCTGGGTGCAGGTCCTAGTAGCCAGTATTTCCATCCTAGTTTACACATCTGTCCAAACATTTATACCCTACCTAAGCTTTCAATTCATTCATGTTCAGGACGACAAGCAGGCATTCCAAAACTAACAAAATATGGCAGTCAGTCACTTTTTATGTCTCTTGCTACTAATAATTGTGGGCATCTTCATTTACCTCTGCCTTTGGCTCAGCTGATTCGTTAGAGGTATCAAGTTGTTCCTTGGCTTGGGCCATCTGAGTCATTAATCTATCCATGTGAGACTGGATGTCTGCCAGTATCTCAGTCACATGAGCTGTGGCCATTGCTTCCTGGATGTCCACTAGATGAAGGGCTTTCTGCTCCTCATCAGCAATCACCTTCTGAACTTTCTTAAATTCCTGCTGTATAAACACTTTCATCTGGTCCCGAGTTACCTGAAAAGCACAGACAAGAAAGTTAACTTGAACTCAAAGAAATGGAAAGGTGAAGTTATTGCTATAAAACATTAGGCAGCCCTGGCCAAGATACAAACCATGGTTCCTATCTGATTCTGAAGTTTTGAGATTATCTTCTTCTCCTTTTTCTTCTTCTTCTTCTTCTTCTTTTTTTTTTAAGATTCATTTACTTATTCGAAAGGCAGAGTTACAGAGAGACAGAGACAGAGATCTTCAATCTACTGGTTCACTCCCCAAAAAGCCCCAAGGGCTGGAGCTGAGCTGATCCAAGGCCAGGAGCCAGAAGCTTCTTCCATGTCTCCCATGTGGGTGCAGGGGCCCAAATACTTGGACCATCTTACACTGATTTCCCAGGCCATTAGCAGGGAGCTGGATCAGAAGTGGAGCAGCCAGGACTTGAAACGGTGCCCATATGGAATGCTGGCATTGCAGGCAGTGGCTCTACCTGCTATGCCACAATGCCGGCACCAACGCTATCTTCCAACAAAGTCCCCCTAATAGCTGACAAATTTCCTGCTGATCCTTTGGCCTTTTTCATTGTTCAGGAAGTAATTCCTTATCTTTCACTTTTGCTTTGTTTTTATACTAGTATAAATATATAATTACTTTTTTTAACTTTTATTTAAGCAAATATAAATTTCCAAAGTACAGCTTATAGATTACAATGGCTTTTTCCCCTCATAACTTCCCTCCCACCTGCAGCCCTCCCAACTCCTGCTCCCTCTCCCATTCCATTCACATCAGGATTCATTTTCAATTCTCTTTATATACAGAAGATCAATTTAGCATATATTAAGTAAAGATTTCAACAGTTTGCACCCACACAGAAACACAAAGTGTAAAAATACTGTTTCAATACTAGTTATAGCATTAATTCACATTGGACAACACATTAAGGACAGAGATCCCACATGAGGAGTAAGTGCACAGTGACTCCTGGTGTTGACTTAACAATTTGACACTCTTGTTTATGGCGTCAGTAATCACCCTAGGCTCTTGTCATGAGTTGCCAAGGCTATGGAAGCCTTTTGAGTTCGCCGACTTCAATCTTATTTAGACAAGGTCATAGTCAAAGTGGAGGTTCATTCTCCCTTCAGAGAAAGGTACCTTCTTCTTTGATGGCCCATTCTTTCCACTAGGATCTCACTCGCAGAAATCTTTCATTTAGGTCCTCATTTTTTTTTTTTTTTCAGAGTGTCTTGGCTTTCCATGCCTAAAATACTCTCATGGGCTTTTCAGCCAGATCTGAATGCCTTAAGGGCTGATTCTGAGGCCAGAGTGCTGTTTAGGACATCTGCCATTCTATGAGTCTGCTGTGTATCCCGCTTCCTATGTTGGATCATTCTTTCCCTTTTTTATTCTATCAGCTAGAATTAGCAGACAATAGTCTTGTTTGTGTGATCCCTTTGACTCTTAGACCTATCAGTATGATCAATTGTGAACTGAAATTGATCACTTGGACTAGTGAGATGGCATTGGTAGAATCCCCTGGCACATTTCTAACTACTTTTTGGGGAAAGTCAGCTTGAGCATGTCCCAAATTGTACATTTGACATAGTTAGACAGAGAGAGAGACAGAGAGACAGAGAGAGAGACAGGCAGAGAAAGGTCTTCCTTCCATTAGTTCACCCCCCAAAATGGCCACCACGGTCAGAGCTATGCTGATCCGAAGCCAGGAGCCAGGTGCTTCCTCCTGGTCTCCCATGCGGGTGCAGGGCCCAAGCACTTGGGCCATCCTCCACTGCCTTCCCAGGCCACAGCAGAGGGCTGGACTGGAAAAGGAGCAACCAGGACTAGAACCTGGCACCCATGTGGGATGCCGGCGCCGCAGGCAGAGGATTAGCCAAGTAAGCCAAGGTGCTGGCCCCCATATAATTACTTTTTAAAAATATTGTAATTAAGTGTACAAGGATACTTCAAAAACTACATGGAAATGGAATTAAAGGAAAAATTCATTTTGGTGCAAAACATTTTGATGTTGATACACACAAAGGATCTTCAAAAAGTTAATGAAAATGTATATTATATAAAACTATGCATAGATTTCAAAACTTATTGCAACAAAATAAACTTATCTTGTAATTCCATTTTTCCATAAGCTCTGTAATGTACCCTGTATATTTATTCAGAGAAATGAAATTTCTCCTCTCCAATTACAGATGTACCAATTATATTCCTATAATATGTGAAAGAAACAATTCCTTATGCCCTCACCAATACTGGGTAATACCAACCTTTTAGATTTTTACTATATGATGGGTGAAAGGTAGATTATTGTTTTGTTTTACAATAGCAACTGCAAATCAAAGAAAACACAACTGTAGGCTGTATTTGTCTAGGGCATAAGAAAGACAAACACAGTGAGAAACTATCAAAATAAGTACTTATAAACTCTAAATCTTGCCAGTAACTTTATTTACTAAAGTTTCCAGACATGTGTTCATTTTATGAGTATTTTTAAACAACAATGAGCAGTAGAGATAAGGGGTTGGAGGGGGGTACGGCTGGTGGAAGAACAGTAGGCCAAAGGGGAAAGCCAACGGAGAATTTGTGACCTAGAAGAGCAAGTATTTCTCATCTAAGTGCACTGGTTCTTAGTCTGGTGCTCCACTCACTGTAACAGTCCATCAGAAGGGAAATCAAACTGGAAAAACCTATGAAAAGAAACTGACAAAGAGGTGGGGAAGCAGAGGAGGCCATTTTTAATCAGCCTCTTAAAAACTGCAAATAGCTTGAATCTTAAGCAGCTTTTGTAACACTGCCATAAGGAGGTCAATACAGATGGCTTGTATGACATGGATCTGTTCATGTATCAAATCTAAGTGACATAAACCCCCAGGAATTCATATACTCTTCCCAGGTGCTCTCCCTGGTGCTGGAGAAAACAGGAGGAAGAGTGTTAAATGTTATTAATAGCCCTGCAAACTCTGTTAACAGACTGAGAACTGTGACTTGTGTTTAATTATATAATTTCTTTTTATTTTTGTATGTCTATTTCAGGGCTTTTATGCTTTATGATGATTATCTACCAATAGATCTCTATTCTTGAAATAAACTGGGTCTTAAATGACCTACGACCATCTCTCTATTAGAGGCCAAACTTGGAAAACTCACTAAGAGAGGAAGTTCCCCGAATGCTTGAGAAATTCTCTTAATAGTTTCAAGTGACTAAAAATAGTCATCATAATAAAAACTGACTCACAACTTATTTGATTATAATACACATTGATTCAAAGTTAGGAAACTGACATCAGAGTCAGGAAAGGTATGGATTAGACTACAACAGGTGAGCAAATCACGGACTTTTAAAAACTGAATTCTCTATTTCCTATTGTTTTACATAGGTTTTTTCAACATGATACTTTATTCCATACAGATCAGGCCATAAATGAGACTTGAAGGTAGAATTACCTGTATGCTTTCTTTCCATTCCCATTCTCTACTAACTGACACGAGTATCCTATCCTTCATCTAGTTCAAAGTAGTAAGAACAAATTTCTGGGTCACAGCATCCATTCAAATCCAGAGGGATTCCCTGGGAGACTAAGCATGTGGTTGGTTGGATTCTCTGGAAAAGGATTCCTACCAATGATAGCAGCTTTCAAAATTTCCTTTCAGGTTTCATTTCACCTCTTTGTCATCAGAACTCCATTCTGCTAAAAACTGCAAGAGTAGCAGGCTCTTAAGGTCAGTGCCTGCTACTTGGGAGCTGCTGACATCACTTCCAAGTAGGTTTCTTGGGACTTACTTAGTCTCTCTGTCCAAGTGAGTTACATATTACAGATTAAAAAAAAAGATTTATTTGTTTGAAAGGCAGAGAGAGTGAGAGTGAGAGAGTGAGAGAGAGTGAGAGTGAGAGAGAGTGAGAGAGAGTGAGAGAGAGAGAGAGAGTGAGAGAGAGAGAGAGAGATTGAAATTGCTTTATCTTCTATCCACGGTTCACTCTCCAGATGGCTGCAACATCCAGGGCTGGGTGAGGTCAAAGCCAGGATTCAGGAACTCCATCCAGGTCTCCCACATAGGTGGTAGGGGCCCAAATACATGGGCTATCTTCTGATGCCTTCCCAGGCATGTCAGTAGGAAGTGGGATTTGAAACAGAGGAGCCAGGACTTGAACTGGCACTCCATTATAGATCCAAGTGTCGCAGGCAGGGATTTAATACACTGTGCCACAATGCCACCATCCCTATGTTGCAGTCTTAACTATAACCACAGCAATGTTACACTATAACCACAGCAATGTTACACAGAAAGACAAGACTCAACATATCCAGAGAAGAGAAACCTGGATGTACACAGAATGCTGAAATTGGTGATGTGAAAAGTTCCTTTTATACATCATTTACTAGTAGTTGATGTCACATCTTTTTAAAAGCCGCAGACTTCCCTCACAGCCAAACAAAATCTTAATATGGAACCCCAAAGTATAATAAAAAACAAAGTGGAACTATTCTGATTAAAAGAAAAATCTCCCCCTCCTCCTTGGCATACTACCTATGACACTGTAGTGGCTTCCAAAAATTTTTACAAGAGAGAACTGGGTCCTCAACATAAACAAAATCTTAACAGGAGCTTTCATCCTTTGTTCAACTGAATGGCCTCCAAGTTGTCAAAATCTTCAGCCCCTAATTTATAAGTGAGATGATGTATCTTTGTTACAGCTGCATTAGGGTACACTATTGTTTTATTACTTAAACACAGGATTTTAATAAAAATCATATAAACATGGCATTATTTCTATATGGTCAGACTAACTAGTGAATACCTCAGTACAATCTCCTCTTTTTACAGGTGAAGGGAAAGAAAGCTCAGTAGCAGAAGTAGTACAGTAATAAAGTCACGGCTTAGTAACGTTCCTCTGGCCAGTCCAGCAAATTTTCTGCAACAACGTATCACCTTAAATGATCCCTTTCTAACTGCTTCACCTTAAATAATCCCTTTCTGACTCCAAATTTATCTCTTCTTAATTTAGGCCTTTC